TAACAAGGGCTCTGGTGAAAATCCAAGGAGCGTCTGCATCGGTAACCGGCGGCTTCTGGTCGTTCCTGTCTCTGAGTCTGTGGGAATCCCGCGGCAAGCAAGAACGTTATCCGAGTAGGCCTGGGTACCCTACTTCTGTAATTTATCCCAAGAATCTTCTTCTCATAACAGGAAGAAGCCGGCTCAATCCGCCCAGGGTGAATGCCGCATCAGTACAGTACAGTACAGTAAAGTCTCTATGAAGTCCTAACTAGTTCCCATATGGACAATTTTTCTTTTTTTTTTAAAACTTTTAAATGAAACCCCGGCAAGGAAAGTTTATCAGAACACGTATCATGAAAGTATTTATAGAAAAGGACAGAGAGAAACGTATGTACAGCGGTGGGAAAGTGACTGAATCTGAGATCGATGCTATTGCAGATATCATCGAAATACAGTTCACTATATGTCCCCCTTCTCAATCATTATATAAGGTCCAATCAAAAAGTTATGCCTGTACCAGTTTAATGAAATTATATTTAATAGCTGAGTCCCACGAATCCGAAAAATAAAGACAGAAATCATATGTTACAGAATCTTGTCCTCTGCGTAAAATTCTTCGTTCACAATTGTGATATTACACCTTTGAATGAAGTCATCTATAACATTGGAGAAGCTTTATTGGTTACAATCTCTAGGAGAGACTTCTAAAATCCTTCACACCCCAATTTTATGAATAAATCCTACAGATGCATCCTGGGATTTTTTCCAACCATTACAAAACGGACAATTCTCGGATATATTCCACATATGTATTTCTTTCTTGCCCTAAAGTCAGAACGCTATAACCACTTTTAACCCTTATATATATATATATATATATATATATATATATATATATATATGTATGTGTGTGTGTGTGTGTGTGTGTGTGTAAAAAAAAAAGAAAGAACAGTAAGATATATAATCCGGTGTTCTTATAGATATTTTCATTTTTACAAAATAGTGCTCAATGTAAATTTACAGATTTAATATTATAAATTAATTGATTTAAAATATGTTTTTTTTTCGCTACAGTTCTAACCATGTTTCAAAAATAGAAGCTAAAAAGCTCCGAATTTAATTTTGTAATTAAATTAAAGACATTAGTTCCATTTCATCCTCAAGCGAATTTCCCTTGAGGATGAAATGGAACTAATGTCTTTAATTTAATTACAAAATTAAATTCGGAGCTTTTAGCCTCCATTTTTGAAACATGGTTAAAACTGTGTAGCGAAAAAAATATTTTAAATCAATTAATTTATAATATATATAGTCATGCACAGACAGACTGTTTCGCTGTATCACAACTCTTCAGTGCGGCTTGACGTCTGTTTGCCTCTAGCTAGGATCGAAACCCACTGAATTGGCGTCAGTCGGAGATTCTACCACTAAGCCGTCGTATAGATATGATCACTTAAACGTTATTTTTAGTGGATACTCATATTTGAGTAGACGCTTCGTTTATATATTAAGCATTATATTCATTTAAAAATAAAAGAAATGTCGACTCAAGTATGGGCATCCACTAATCTGATGGATTAATAAATAGAAAACTATTACTTCTTTATATAAATGTAAATAATATATATTAAAATCATATATATATATATATATATATATATATATATATATATATATATATATATATATATATATATAAAGGATTTTGGTGAAATAAATTATTGTAATGGTACCTTAAAGTGGTCTTTTTTCATTAAATATTAGCTCTGTTCTTCACATTGAGCTCTCAGGATTTCATCCTCCTTGGATTTACCAATTCGGTTTACCAAGTTCTTCATAACTTATATATATATATATATATATATATATATATATATATATATATATATATATATATATATATAAAAGAAAGAACAGTAAGATAAAAATCCGGTGTTCTTATAGATATTTTTATTTTTACAAAATAGTGCTCAATGTAAATTTACAGAGCATTAATATGATAAATTATTTGATTTAAAATATGTTTTTTTTCGCTACTCAGTTCCAACCAAGTTTCAAAAATAGAAGCTAAAAACCCCGAATTTAATTTTGCAATTAAATTAAAAGCATTAGTTCCATTTCATCTTCAAGCGAATTTATATATATATATATATATATAATCATTTTCCTCCGCGCAAGGCAATAAATCCACTAAGACGCAAGGCATTACTGAATGTTAAAGAATATGAGAAAAGATATTATTCAGAAGAGAGAATAATAAAACAATAATAATTAAGAAGACAAAAGATAACGATTGACATTACATTTAAATTATATATATATATGTATATATATATGAAGAAATATAGTCTTAAGATGTGCTATATTTATGGGATAAAGTGCTCATTATCAGAGGTAGAGCGTGTGTAAATATAAAAGTGAACATAGAAGTCAACACTTAGAGGCGACAATCTTTGTCTAGATGCAATCGTCAGGCCACCTGGCTCTAGCATGACACAGACTGTCGCCTCTAAATGTTGACTTCTATGTTCACTTATTTATATATATATATATATATATATATATATATATATATATATATATATATATATATATATATATATATATATATATATAGGTGCATACTTAGAGCTTGAAAGTTGGATTAATTCGTTGAACGCACACTTATTTTTAGAAAGAAAACATTTTTCTATATTTACAAGAGCAATTTAGTTTTCTCTCTATTTTTACGCATGCGCTTTGGTTCGTTTCGTTTTGTGAAAGACGAGATTGTGTCGCTAAGTAATATTTCGTGTTAGTCGTACGGATCCGTGTTTTAGGCGCAGCAAGACGTGGTGTATGCATGCATTCTTGCTTCAATTAATTTTCCGAGGAGAGTAACGCTCGCCAATTTTGGGGTCCGCTTTCTTCGCTTCGCGCCATCTTCCCAGTTAATATAGCGCGCACGCATATACGGGGAAGAATGTCGAGACATAGACAAAATAATGCTTTGCGCATCGACTGTGAAAATTGTAATTCTTTGCGCGCATTTCACCTTTCTTTTTATCCTGACACTGTAGGCACTGACAAAAACATATTTTCATACAACACACGCAATTACTTGCATATATATATATATATATATATTAAAGTCTGAGGTTTGTAAAACAGCTAACTCCAAGTACATTTTTTCTCTACTCTCTCGTATAGCTTAATGTGCTATTGTCTTTTGGATGATCACTGATATAACTTTAAATGGGAATCTTTTTAGACAGAAATCTGGACTGACGATGGGTTCACCGCTCAGTTGGGGGCCTGCATGCCACTCAGAATTTTTAGAATTTATCCACACTTTTCAGTGTATTCTCTCAAAAGACGCAACATATTTCAGAATCATTTACGATGACTTGTTAATATAGCCACACGTACAACATTACCAGAACTTGTTGATAGTTTAAACAGGGCAGAACATTTAATGTGTGTGTGTGTTTGTTGTGTGTGTGTGTGTGTGTGTGTGTGTGTGTGTGTGTTTGTTGTGTGTGTGTCTGTGTGTGTGTTTGTTGTGTGTGTGTCTGTGTGTGTCTGTGTGTGTCTTTATTTCCCTCTGTGAATACCGTACTGGGTATGACGATAAACTACATCCGCATCTTGGGTTAGACGATAAACTATACCCGGCAACAAGATCTCTGACCAGGTGGTTCTGAGGAGTGTGGAACCATCTCTTAATTGCTGGTGTTCCAGGTCCACCCTGCCCCCAGGTCCATGTTGGGCACTATGGACTAATAATTAACCCCTAAACTGGGGTCAAAATGCTATGAAAGTACAAAAATAGGTTTTAATACGATCAAAACATTTTCCGAAAAATTATTACCAGCTATATATTTAAAAAAAAAAAATTACTAGCAATAGATTTTTGAAAAAAAAAAAAAAATTAATAGCAATATATTTTTGAAAATTAAAAAAAAATAAAAATCTTGGCGTTAAATAATCCATTGGGGTTGATATGCCGTAAAACAAACGCACTAATCCATACATAGAGAATATATATATATATATATATATATATATATATATATAATTTAATATATATATATATATATATATATATATATATATATAAAATAACCCATTGAGGTTGATATGCCAAAACCAATCCATACATAGAGAATATATATATATATATATATATATATATATATATATATTTAATATATATAGATATACATATATATATATATTAAATAACCCATTGAGATTGATATGCCGTAAAAACAAACTACACTAATCCATACATAGAAATATATATATATATATATATATATATATATATATATATATATATATTTAATATATATATATATATATATATATATATATATATATATATATATATATATATATATATATATATATAAATAACCCATTGAGGTTGATATGAGGTTAAGCCAAAACCAAAGCAAACTGCATAGGAAAATGTAAAAAAATATACAAATCATCATTGGATAAAGATTTTCTAAACGGAGCTTAGATGTGGGCACAAGACCGAAAGTGGGAGCACCCGGTAAGGATCGAATTCATTACTCAGTCTTAATTGTTCTAGCGAGGTAAGCTGGTTAACCATTACATCACGTCGAGGTGGCCGAGCCGGGGTCGAATATTTCAGTTTTTCAGGTTTCAGTTTTCTGCCAAAACTTACAGCGGCCATTTAGGTCGATACGGTGGAGTAATGGATAGCGACTCGGAGAGCCGAGTTCGAATTCCACTCGATTCCATTACATTCACTCACGTGCTAATACCATTGGGAAAGTTATAAATCCTCTTCTCCACCCCCCCCCAGCTATGATTAAATAGCAAAACAGACTGTTATAGCCTTGGATGTTAACTGGTCTATCGCAGAAAGAAATGCCAACCTACTACGGGAAAAAGAAAATCTGCCTCGTCAGTCATGTATTGAAAGATACATGATCGCCTAAGCGTGTATCATGCATGGCACATAACGGATCTATCTCGGATTGTTTACATCTATTTTTCTATCTCAGTCTATTCACATCTATCTATCTATCTATCTATCTGTCTGTCTGTCTTCATATACTTCTAAGTGCCTTTATATACTTTCATCTATCTATCTATCTTCATATACTTCTATCTATCTATCTATCTATCTATCTATCTATCTATCTCTTTCTTGATTCCGACCCTTCTTTTTCTTTTCTCTTATTGCTCTTTCCTTCCTTCCTTCCTTCCTTCCTTCCTTCCTTCCTTCCTTTCCATCTTTCGTCGTTCCTTTTCTCGTCCTTCTGTCTACATTTTACTTCCTTCTCTCATCCTATCTATCTATCTATCTATCTATCTATCTATCTATCTATCTATCTTAATGTCTGTTCATATCTATCTATCTATCTATCTATCTATCTATCTATCTATCTGTCACAGTATGCTGATATCTATTTATCTATCGAATCCATGACACTCACTTACTTTTTAATACCCTTGGGAAAGGTATCAATCATCTTCTCCCCCCCCCCCCAGCTATGGGTAAATTGCAAGACAGACCTGGTTCTATAAACCTGGATAGCAACTGGTCTACCGTAGAAAGAAATGGCAACCTACTGCAGGAAAAAAATCTGCCTCGTCACTCATATATCGAAAGATACATGATCGCCTAAGTGTGTATCACGCATGGCACATAACTGAGTCTTCCAACTTTAGGCGGAAACATATATCAAAGTCGAATAAATCAACAACAGACGCTGTCTATATCGGCAGAACGCCTTATTCTCTTTACTAGGATTTTTCGAATAGGCCGGCCGGTAGACGTAATACACATTGTTTAATGGATAGAAATGCGGTATCTATTTTCTTTAATACTAACTAACCAAGTTAACAAGACTTGAATTAATAAAAATATTTCAATCTGTAAGATATATGCAAATATAAACAGGTTATCTGATATACATTTGCGCATTGTTTAAAAAGACAGAGATGTCTACTCAAACACGTATCTCCAATAAATATATCGTTTAAATAATAATAAGCACATTTACACACGCACGTACGCACACACTCAAACGCACACACAGGTACGTATTTATATATATATATATATATGAATTTTTGAAATGTTTTTTTTTTGTTTTGTTTTTTTAAAAAACATTTATTTTATATTCAACATCATCACTTGATAAGACACCGAGGGTGTTGAAACAAAATGGTTATTTTTGTAGTGATTTTATAACATATTTATGTTATAAATTTTTTTTTATAAAAAATAATTATATCTGCTCTACTTTGTATTGAGCACTCTTTTAAGAATAGTAATTTTTGGTTATTGGAATTCATTCCGTATATACCAATTATATACTTGTATATATATATATATATATATATATATATATATATATATACATGAATAAAAGACAAAAGCAAAACGTATCTGAGCCGACGCATTTCGACCTCTGAGAGGCTTTATCAAGGTAAATTCGAGGAATTTATTTTGTAACAAGTATTTACATACAAGACCAAAAATGTTATTGGTTTTTTTTTAATTATAGGAAAGCTTTGGTATATAAATACTTGTTACAGATTAAAATCCTCGCGTCGGCGAAGATAAGTTTTCATTTTGCCTTTATTCATATTGCCCTTTTACAAATAAACTCTAGCTGAAATTTTCACGCACACACACAGACACACACAGAGACATAGACACACACACACACACAGACACACACACACACACACAGACACACACACACACATATATATATATCATTGAATGTTCTAACCTATTTAAACAAGTTCTGGTAATGTTGTGCGTGTGGCTATATTAACAGGGCATCGTCAATGATTCTGAAATATGTTGCGTCTTTTTTAGAGAACACACTGAAAACTGTGGATAAATTCTAAAAATTTTGAGAGGCATGCAGGCACCCAACTGAGCGGTGAACCCATCGTCAGGCCAAATTTCTGTTTATAAAGATTCCCATTTGAAGTTATATCAGTGATCATCCAAAAGAGAATAGCACAATAAGGTATACGAGAGAGTAGAGAAAAATGTACTTGGAGTTAGCTGTTTTACAAACCTCAAAGACTTTAATATATATATATATATATATATATATATATATATATATATATATATACAGGTCTTACCAGTTTGGGACTAGAAGAGATAATTTCGAGGAGGATACAAATCTAGGAAGAGCTCAATGTAGACTAAAGAGCATTACAATGATAATAAAAAGGCGGAGATTTTTATTATGCATTTGGATTATAATTTATTTCGTGAACACCGAGGTGTTCGACTCTTCAGATCGAAATCTCCTCCGTAAATGGGGAAATTTACGTTGGAAAGAATTAAAGTTCCGTCTTCGAATATATATATATATATATATATATATCTCTGAAAAACTTTCGTTTTTACAACATGGAAGATTGCAGGTCGTTTGTGGAATACGTTATGGGGCGTCGAAATGGAAACGGAAAGATAAAAATTTTCAGTTATCTGTTTTACTCTTGGATAAGACTTGTGTTTTTTATGTCCAGCCAGATTGAACTGAATTCGAAAATGGTTTATTAAAACCGAAACGTCTGACGTCGACAATTCTTTTCATTTTAACTACATTTATGGATTTTTGTTTGTTTTTCAAAATTTCTCATTCTGTCGGTTTTATCCATTTACACTTGGCGTTTGGAGGTCGTTTGTGTGTATCGAAATGGAAGATAACGGTTAACCCCAGCCAGATTGTAGTGATCGGGGAAACTTCCTCTTTGGAGTCGGTTCCACAGGGCAGTGTTTCGCTAGAAGAAGCTACTCGAGTGGAAATTATTTTTCACCGATGGGCTATGGAGGGAATATCGGTGGTTTGCTACTATGTAAGTAGCATAGCATGTCCTTGCTGTGGCGGTTTGATTCGTCGAGACCAGGCAATGTAGTTCATCCGAGCACTTTCCGTGGAAGTAGCAGCAGAGCAGTGAGAGACTCGCTACATCACGCCTGTGGGAGAGAGGTTAAATGGTGGATCGTCACTCACAAGGGCTTAGGGACGCTTTTGAACGCTATCAAAGCTGGCTGTAACAAAAGTAGCCCATTTTTCGCCTAATCTGGCTCTTGCAAAGGAAGAGGATAGCCAGAGGGGCCATGCATCTAGTGCAGCCGTTCAGGGAGCCGGCCATTTTACTTACATCCTTAGCAATGGATTGTATGTGCGAATTCTACGCTCCGGCCTTCTTCATTGTAATAAATATGTCGACAAAGATGAGGACAATAGTCCGTGTAATGTAAATGGTGTAATTATTTTTTTCGCTGCAACCCTTTCTCCATAGGTCGACCTCCTCCGTAACATGCCTTTTCTAGAAATACTTTCATATCTGTCTATATTTCTGTTGTGGTAGGATCCACCTAATTTGCATATAAATATGGTTGGTACCGGGAAGAGAGGGAGGAATCAAGAGATTCAACCAGAGACTCTGCCCGACTGCGACTCAGTCAACACATTCTCCAGGAACGGTCTTAGTCAAGTTTCAACAATGGCGACGAGGATGAGATATTGTTGAAACTTGACTAATGCATGGAATAATAATGCAACACAAAATGTACTTAGAACAAAATGTATTGAAACAAGAAAGTGTACACAATATTTACATATAGTCTCTTGTATATTCCTGGTAAGACCGTTCCTGGAGAATGTGTTGATTGAGTCGCAGTCGGGCAGAGTCTCTGGTTGAATCTCTTGATTCCTCCCATATTTATATGGTCGGTACTCCACTATGCAAATTAGGTGGATCCTACCACAACAATTTCTGAGATGAGATATCGTAACTATTTACACTATTTACATTGTTCGAAATATTGTACTCATCTTTATTGTTATATTCACGACGTTTCGGCCGTTATGCGATCCGGCAATCATCAGGATCCTTTGATATTTCTGAGATGAGGTATCGTAACTATTTATGCTATTTACATTTTTTTTTTGAATTTGGCCTCATCTTTATTGTCATATTTACAACGTTTCGGCCATTGTACGCTCCGGCCTTCTTCGGTATCTGCCTATATTTCTGAAGTGATGTATTTAACTATTTATAATATTTACATTGTTCGGACTGTTGTCATCATCTTTATTGTCATATTCACGACGTTTCGGCCGTTGTACTCTCCGGCCATCTTCAGGTGATTTATGTTGGAATGTCGAACCGAACCCTTTATTTCGTCCACCGGGGAAGATTGTTCTAGTTCCACGTGCCATGCCTTTTCTGGATATCTCTATTTCAGTTATTTTCCTTTTAGTAAGTCAACTGCTCAAGTATTTTTTGTTCACCTCTGTTGTAGCCAGAACTCACAACACTCTGGGACGAGTCACTGGACTATTTTTTATCCACTGGCCCAGATGTAACCGTAAGTTCTATGCTAGCAGTTTCTTCTCTTCAACTTTCTCTCCTGTGGAAATCTTTTCTGGCTTCTTGCTTTCCAATCAAGTTTGATTTTCAAAACTTTAAATGCAATGTCAATCATTATCAACTGCCTTCTTAATTCCTGTTCTTCTTTGTTCTCTTTCCTTAAAGATGTTTTGCATATATTCGTTAACACTCGGTAACTTCTTGAGACTGAGTGACTTTTTTGCTTTGCTTCAGGTAAAATGATTAAAAATATGTTCTCACAAGCCACATTCTCCCGTACTATCAGTTCACACCTTCACGACTAGGACACGCGATATCGCGTACGCAAGATCGGCTCAACATCATTCCATCCGTAAGGAGGAAGTTCAACTCAGACTTGTTCAGCCTCATTCCTACATTGGTAAGAAGGAATTTCCATTTAAAGGTTTTATTTTTCGTGAAAACCGCGGCATTGTGAAACAGACTCCCATACTACGACAACCTTAAACTTATTTATGGTCGTCCTTGAATTCTAGGGTCAACCATTATCTGCCTACAGCACCCTCATTTCGTAACCCGATAGCATGGGAGACTTTGCATTGGGTGAACAACAATGAAAAATAGAACATTTTAAACAACAAATATTTATTTTTCAACATAATCTCCTTCCTTGTCAATGCACTTAATTCTATTTAAATCGCATATTTCGAATATTATTCAGCATAAAATTACAGGCTCACGGCCAGATCACGTTGAGACACCGGTTCGAGACTTGTCAGTGCCTAGATGGGTGGCTGTTTTGGTATACCCGATGATATAAGCTTGGATGTGCGGGTGGTGTAATGCATAATGGCTCGGAATTGTTAATCGCCGAGTCGAGTTCGAATTCCAGTCGGATTTGTTATATTCACTTAAGCGCGAATGTATGTATAGCTGGCCACACGTATTCGAGGATATCCGTCTAATAGGGCGGCTAGACAATCCCCATTGCAGACGTTTGCTCAGGCACATTTGTGTTTGCTCAACACCCACAGAGCCCACCTGTGGTTTATATTGCAACTATGCTGAGCAGACCTTAGTTACAGTTTCTGGGAAAGAGCGTGATCAACAATTTGAACAAAGACAGCACGCTCAAGCCCTCGGCCACGATGGCTTGTGACTTCGTACTAGCACAGCTATCGATGGCCCCTAAGGGTTCCGTCTACACAATTTCACTCACAAGGCTTGGGTTAACCCGTGGTATGGTTTTCAGGTGCTTTCCAAAGGTGCTTCACGCTGGGATTGCCCCCCCTCCAGTCCGATAACATCAGGAAGTCTCTTTCATGACAAATCGACCATGGTGAGATTAGAACCCGGGTTTCCTTGTGAGAATGCGAACATTCTAAGCTACGGGCCCATATACCCATGGAAAAACGTATGAATCCACCTCTTCTCCCCCAGCTATGGGTTAATAAGTACTGGCATACTTAAATTATTATTATATAAAAAATAACAAAAATCTTCTTACAATAATATTTTCTGGCTTTAAATAACCTGCAAAGTGTTGATAAGCCGTAGGAAAAAATTAACCAGCCAAAATAAAATTGCAGTTCAAAATTGTGCAGGCTTAAGCAAAAATTTAAATGCAATGTCAGTCATTATCCACTGCCTTCTTAATTCTTGGTCTTTGATCGCTTTCCTTAAAGATGTTTTTCATATATTCTCTAACACTCAGTAACTCCTTGCGACTGAGTGACATTAATGCCTTGCTTGAGGTGAAATGATTAAAAATATGTTCTCACAAGCCACATTCGCCCGTAATATCAGTACACATCTTCACGACTAGGACACGCCATATCCCGTACGCAAGATCGGCTCAACATCATTCCATTTATAAGGAGGAAGTTCAACTCAGACACCGGTTCACTTACTATCACCGACATTAAGCAACTTCGAGTCTGGTCAGTTCTTAGATGGGTAACCATTTGTGGTTACTAAGTGCTGTTTAAGTTGGATGCGCGGGTGGTGTAATGGGTGATGTCTCCGAATTGTTAATCGGAGAACCGAGTTCAAATTCCCGTTGGGTTCGTTATATTCACTTACGCGCAAATACCTTTGAGGTAAAGGCATGAACCCACTTTTCATCCATCTATTGGTTAATGAATAAAACTTGTATCTGTAAACCATTATTATTAATTTTTTAATTCTTACGATCTAAAAAACGTTTTCTGGCTTTAAATAACCTGCAAACGGTTGATAAACCGTAAAAAACAAATCAACCAACCAAAATCATTATGCTGCTTTGTGAGTGATAAGTGGTTTTCTATCCTATAGCCCCTTTTCCATAGACGTAAATTTCCAAGCGTATCTTTATTCTATCGTTTCTTCTATGGTCAATGTTTGGATGAGCTGCCGCTAGTTCAGACCATTACAGACAAGAAGACCCTCATATCTCTATCCACGGAGTTGAATTACCGCCTCCAAAACCAAAACTCATTTAATGACCACAGGGAAAATTGTCTCCTACCATAATCATGGCTGATGCTAAACTCATGGAGATCAACACCTTCTTCGCCTCACGTTTACAACTGACTTGAAGTAGAACGACTACATCGAATAAATAGCTGCATCTACTGCTAGGAAAGTTGGGTCACTGTGTCATGCCAGAATCCATCTTTCACATTTACAAATCATTTTTTAAGCGTTTCACCCAAAGCAAGACAGGAGTGCCAAAGCACGCAAGAGGTTACAGAGAGTGAGAGTAAAGAGGGTTTGTTTGAGGAAAGGATAAAGAAAAGGACGAGGACTAGGATGAAGGCAACAGAAGATGCCGATTGACATTACATTTGAATATTTGAAGATTATAGCTATCAGGGAAGCAAGTAAGAGGAAGGGAATTTCACTGTCGGGAAGTGCGATAGAAGAAGCTGTTGGAGTAGAAGAGACGGTCACATTTTCGACAGTGAAAGAGTGGGACCGAGATGCCAACCTAGTAGCACGCTTAGATTCGTGTAATTGCGGTTACCAGTGAAAGTAGTTCATCAGAGCAGTTACCATGGAAATATTTGTAGAAAAGGCAGAGGGAAGCCACAGCACGTCTGTGAGAAAGTGACTGTAGACGAGATGCCAGATTAGGATCACATTGCATATCCGTGTTTGGATTTTGTGTAGGACCCCGAGATGAATAGCGGGGGTACCAGGCCATATATGGCTACAGAATTCAATGCAGGGACGAATGGTAGATTCGTAGATTTGAGACGAGAAAAACTTTCTGGGGCGACTGAGACAGACAGCTTTCCTTACGGTAGATAGAACTTTTGGTTCGATGTATTTCTTCCACCTCAGATCAGTAGAAAACGTGAGACCAAGAAGGCGCTGAGAGACGCTCTCACGGAGTTGAGCATCAGCCATGCTGACTGGAGGCAGGGGCGTTTCTCTATAGGGGATAAATGAGAGAAATTTCGTTTTAGAGGCATTAAAGTTTAGAAGCAATATGTTTCATTCCGTGGGTCTGAGGTTTGTACTGGATTAATTTTAATAAAAAAAAAACAAAACAAAAAAAGCGTCTATATGACCCCCACCAAAATAAAATATACGAATGAGTGAGTATGTGTGTGTGTGTGTTTCGCGTGTCTCTAATTGAGGCATCGTTTACAGGTCTCGTCAAATAGGGTACACTTTAGCTTTTACGTCCTCAGCTTGCACCGTCATAATTTGGCCTCGTCATCACGTCACTTAAAAGGACCTTTTTGTTTATCTACCTACCACCGAGTTTCATTTGTTCACCCCCCCCCGCGCAAAAAAAAGTTTTAACTTTCAAAAGGTAAAAACTACGAAGTCATCATTTCTTTTTTTTTTTTAAAGGAACATTTTTTTTTTTTTTTGCTTCTCCCCCCCGCCCCGACTCCCACGAAGCCTAGCGTCAACATGACAACTAACAATAGCATGGAGACGTCGCTTACAACAACAAAAGCAGAATCTGTTAACACAAATACAACAGTAACTAGAATAGAGAGAGACTTAGAGAGAAGAAAGAGAAAGAGAGAGAGAGAGAGAAAATGTCAGAAAGTGAGAGAGAGACAGAAAAAGAGAGAGCGACATTAGAGAGGGAAGAAAAACAGAGAGATAATAAAGAAAAATAAAATAGAAAGAGAGAGAGAGAGGGGGAGAAAGGAGACAAGCGTAATAGAGAGAGAAAAGAGAGAGAGAGAGAGAGAGAGAAAAGAGAAAAAACGAGAGAAAAGAGTAAGAGAAGGAACAGAGAGAAAAAAGAGAAATAGAAAAGAGGAAAGCGAGAGAGAGATAGAGTGGGAGAAAGGAGAAAGAGAGAGGGAAGAGAACGCAAGAGAAAATGAGAGAGAGAGACAGAGAGAGAGAAGTGGGAGAAGAGAGAGAAAAAGAAAAAGAGAGAAGGGAAGAGAGATGGAAGATAGACAAACGAGGGAGAGAGAGGAGGAGGCGATAGAAAAAGAAAGAAAGAGAAAGAGAGAGAGAGAAGAGGGAAAAAGACAGAAGAGAAAGACAGAGAAAAGAGAAAGAGAGAGTAAAAGAGAAAGAGAGAGAAAAGATAAAAGAGAATGAAAGAGAAAAGAAAGAAAGATATAATATATATATATATTATCATATATATATATATTATCATATATATATATATATATATATATTGTCATATATATATATATATATATATATATATATAGATATATATATATATATAGAGAGAGAGAGAGAGAGTGTGAGAGAGTAACAATTACAATAACAAAGCAAGCAAGAATTGCACGAGATTCTTATGAAGCAACCAAACGTGTCAAATTTCTTCATGTCTCCAACTTGTTTTTTTTTTTTTCCTCAATCATTTTTTTCACTTTTATTCCCATCTTCTTTTACTTGTTCTTCTTTTTCATCCCTACCCGCCATATTTGTTGTATTTTTCTCGTTCGGAGGAAAAAATCTATCTTCAGGCTTCGATTGTTTAGGCCTCCTTCCTGAATGCCACCCGCCGCTACCCGGGTCTACCCGGATCCAATCACACGCAATAATTTCCTGAAATATTTTTTTTATTGGTTATTGTTTGTTTTCTTTCCCCTTCATTCTTCCTTATGAACTAACATTTTCGGCTTCTTTTCATTTTCTTTCATGTCGAACTTCTAGTTTTATTCTGATATTTTTCCTTCTTTGTCACCATTTCTTCTTCTTCTTCTTCTTCTTCTTCTTCTTCTTCTTCTTCTTCTTCTCGTGGTTACATTATTGTCTTTTTTTTTACCATATCATTTTCTTTTTCATTTTTTTCAATGTTTCTAATATTTCTTTTCTCCTTCTTTATCGATTTCTCTTTCTCCACATATTTCTTCTTCTTCTTCTTCTTCTTTTTCTTCTTCTTCTTCTTCTTCTTCTTCTTCTTCTCGTGGTTACATTATTGTCTTTATTTTTACCATATCATTTTCTTTTTCACACACTTTTTCAATGTTTCTAATATTTCTTTTTCTCCTTCTTTATCGATTTCTCTTTCTCCACATCTTTCTTCTTCTTACTCTTCTCCCCACCCTATTATTCTTCCTCGAACTCCTCTTCTCCCTTTATTTTCCTCGTTTCTTTCTTTTTTTTTTTTGCTATATTTCCCTCCATCTTCCTCTTTTACTTTGTCTTTATTTCATATAATTTATTTTGCCTAATTCTTCTTTTTCTAGTCGGTAGAAATTTTTTGTGTCATCCATTATTACGCGTCGTAATGACCTTGTGTCAAACCTCCAATCATTGGTCGGGGTAGAAAAATACCATGCTTCACCCTCTCTTTCACTTCAATTATATATGTGTAGATTTCTTCTTCTTCTTCTTCTTCTTCTTCTTCTTCTTCTTCTTCTTCTTCTTCTTCTTCTTCTTCTTCTTTTTTGCTGTCTTCCTCATTTTTTAATCTTTATCATCGTTTCTAAATCTTTTTTCCATGACCTTCAGTCGTGTTTTCTCTTTCTTCTTCCCTTTCCCGTCCATCTAAAGTTTCATCTCGGCTTTCTTATCGCCTCTTTTTTCAGCCCTGAAACTTCTCAAATTCTCCCATGACTCTCCTTAATTTGCAAGCGAATGTTGACCCCGCTCTTACGTACCCACTCTGTTTTCGATGGAGGCTCCACTCGACCAGAAAAACAACTTAGAACTCATTCACATGGTCGCACACAGAGCCTATTTTTCGCAATGCTGACAAGGACACCACTGAGAGCCACTACCGTGTCCCATTCCAAAAATATTGTTATTTGTTTGTGTCTTGCTGAACTTGGGGGGGGGAATTAGGTAATTGCATCAGTTGTTTTTAGTTCCTTTATTGTTTTCGGGGGCACATACGACTAAAAATAAGAAATCTGACTAAGTCTATTTCTTTCTTTCGTTCTTTCTATCTATCTATCTATCTATCTATCTATCTATCTATCTATCTCTCCTAGTCTTTACAAATCTATCTATCTATCTATCTATCTATCTATCTATCTATCTTAGTCAAATTTCTCCGATTTAACCAGGAGAGAAACAATATTTATAAATAAAAATGACAATAGGAAAACTGGTAATTGCTGACACGTTTCGTCCAATGTGGACTTTATCAAAGCAAAATACGAAAATGAAATTAATTGAACAATATAACTAATAAAAACAAAAACAGTTATTTTCAGTTCAAAATATGAAAAATAGCGTTTCTTTACATTCCAGTTGCTAGGGTACATTCTGTTTTTTTTTTTATTAGTTACTTTGTTCAATTAATTTCATTTTCGTATTTTGCTTTGATAAAGTCCCACATATATATATATATATATATATATATATATATATATATATATATATATAAAAAGTTTGATTTTCCTTTGCAGCTGTGGATGTTCAAGGATTAAATAAATTTGTTGCAGATTAAATTATAAAATCCGACTGAACTTAATCATATATTTTGTTCGGTTTGTTTTACGGCACATCAACCTCAATGGCTTATTTAATGGCGGCTATATTTTTATTTCTGCTAATATTTTTTTTCAAAGATGTACTGCTGGTAATTTGGTTTTTGTTCCCAAAAATGTATTTTTCGTATAAAAACCTCTTTTTTCATACTTAAACCCCAACCTCGTATCAAAATACTGGGCCCCTAAGAGAACCTGGGAACACCAGCAATATGTTCCACTCTCCTTAAAACCTCCTGATCAGAGGCCTTGCTACCAGATATAGATTATCGCCATACCCAGGACGTATCATTGGGGATGTGTCTTACTCCTCTGTATAGGTGTAGTTAGCGTATTTTGAAGCCCCGGCCGATAAAGGCGTTAGTTAGATCCAGTGACAAGACCCAAAGAGTTCAATACCCGGTTAAGGCAGTGGAAAACTTGGAGAGGGAAATTCCACAGGAGATAACTGATAAGTGACATCTATTAGACATGGCACGTGGAACTAGAACAGTCTACCCCAATGAGCGAAATAAAGGGTTCACTTCGACATTCCAACCACCTGAGGAAGGCCGGAGCGTACAACGACCGAAACGTTGTAATAAATATGGCGACAAAGATGAGGACAATAATCCGAATAATGTAAATAGTGTACATAATACCTCATCTCAGAAATATAGACAGATACAGTAGGTAGTGCTATTCGATTTATGCTTTCACGGTCTAACCAACTGACTGGCATCAAAGTGTAGTATCTGTTCTCCGTATCTATAATGGTAATGGCATTATAGCTGTTTCCTTATAAGGAAATATTCGACATTTATTGACCAGTGTGCTCGAGTTTCACTTGTTTTCACTCCTCGGAATCAAAGTGTAATATCTTTTCCGCTCGTCTCTAACGGAAATGGCAATATTAGCCTTTTCCTTATAAGGAAGCATTTATTGGCCGAGCAGACAAGGTAAACTAATACCCAATATTTCAGCGTAGTAAACGAAAGTGAATTAATGTAGTTTTTGTTGCTATTATTATTATTATTTTCTTTGATTTCTGGCGTTTACACATTTCTTTCCGGGTCCCGCCCAGGGACCTAAGGTTAGAAATGGCGTCATGACACTTTCCACTGACAGAAAAAAAAAAAAAAAAATTAAATTACATAGATAAAGCCCTTCGTAAGGTGTGGGTTGTACTTGTCAGAACAATTTTTTGTATCTCCTTGAGGCATGGACTTCCAGGAATCCCTTCAATTAGTCTACTGCAATCTTTTCCAACCAGTCCTAGGGCTCCAACTACATTATTATTATTATTATTATTATTATTATTTTTATTATTATTATTATTATTATTATTGGTTTTTATGCAGTTATTATTTACTATGATATATTTTTTATTTTATTTCATTTTTTATAATTTATTTTATCTTGTTCATTTATTTAGTTGAGTTATTTATTTTTTTAATATCAGCAATTCATATTTCAAAGCGTTCTTTAATTCACAATTTAAACACATATGGAGATTTAATTATTTTTTTGTTTGTTTGTCAAAATCTTTTTTTATGAGCCATGTCACTTCAGGACGTTGGCAATTATGGCTCTCTACATCAATCTATCCCTTGCAGCTCTCAACAAGTTCCCGTCTTCAAATACTTCCTCCCAGACCACTTGCTTAAGCCCGCTGCATTGTTTTATATTGTCTCTCTTTCCCTCTATTCGACCCGTGAGTATCAGATTCCCCAGGCCCTCCGTCCTCATTGTGTGTCCCAGAAACTTTAGCTGCCTCTTCCTGATGTTAAGTATAAGCCTCCTCCTTGTTGGCATCCTCTCCAAGACTTCATCGCTGCCGTAAAAAAGAACAGATGTCACGTAAGAGCTCAGTTTTCTTTGTTACCAAAGAAATTCTCCTGTCTCGGAATACTCTGCCCAGCTTTGGAATGCGTCCTTTGCCATCCCAATAAGTCTACGGACCTCAGCGTCGCACTTACAGTCCTCTGTCAAAACGTTTGCATCCTATCCAAAACCTCATCGTTGCTCACATGTTCGGTTCATGATATCCTTAGCATCCTTCTGTAGAACCACATCTCCGTCGACTGGAGTCTCTTCTTCATCTTTGAGGAGACCGTCTACATCCGCGTCCCGGCTAAGACGGTAAACTACATCCTCTTACCCAGGACGCGGATGTAGTTTATCGTCTAACCGTGACCTCTGTCCAGCTTTTGGAAAACGTCCTTGGTCATCCCTATACTTCTACGGATCTCAGTGTCGCACTTACCGTCCTCTGTCAAAACGCTTCCAAGATATTTAAACTTCCGCGTCTGCTTGATTCTAGAGTTCCCGGTCTGCAATCGCATTCCGGTTTCATCCTTTTACTGATGACCTTGCATTCTGTCTTCTTCTTCTACACTTGCCTTCATAATTTTTCCGCAAGGAACGAAACGCGTTGACATTAAAGCTTTTCCTCGTCATTTATTAATATACTTTTATTATTACGTATTAATTAATATCCACATATTACCATTTGTTAACCTTTTCGTTACAGATATATTTATTCATTTCTGTATTTCTACACACACACACACACACATCTATCTATCTGTGTATATATATATATTTTAATGGCTTTATTGTTTTTGCTGAAGGTGAATTGATTTAAAAAAAAAAAGATAAAAAAAAGGATTGTATCTCTGCCACGATATGAAATTTGTGAAGCTTCGTC